TCGATCTATATATCACGGATTTCTGTCATTTGAAACAATACACGAAATAATTATTTGCAATTCGTATATTATTTCATTCGAAAGCATTTTGAACGCAATTCAAAAATAATGAGTAATTTATATTTATTTTATTACAAATTCTCGAAAGCTTTAAGCGCGACGAGATTCTGGATTCAAGAAGTTACAAAAAATAATTTGCGAAAAAATTATCGTAAATGACATTAAGCACTAATAACTAATAAATAGATAAGTAATAAAAAATAGTAGTAAAAAATAAATTATCAATCCAGTATCATTTAGATTAACCTTGTTGATTTGTTCACTTAGTTTGATGTGTTCTATCAGTTTGATCCAAATTTAGTTTTTTACTAATATTATAATTAAAAAAATTTTTCTGGTAATTTTATGAATTTGTCTGCTAATGTAAGATCATTTTTCTGTGAAAATTTTTTATTTTTTAAAGCTTTTTAATCATATTAATCCAAATATGATCGTAAGTATTATATTTGAGCAAATTAACAGAGTTAAAATTAGATTGTTTTTATTCAACAACATCGAATATTTGCAAAAATTTATTGGTTAGAAAATATTATAATAGTAACATTAGAATAGTAACATTAGAATTATGAAATAAAAGTTTACCTCCAAATGGGCAATTCCATCTCACGTTTGAATGTGAAGTTCCATGTTTCTCGAGGTTAATGTAAGGATTTTCGTGAAACTTTAAATTACACTTTACTTTACATTGCGACAAAGGAAGAAAAGATGAGCTGAATTTAAGGGGAGAGACTATAGCTTTTCGAGATTTGCATTAAATAGAAGCAAAATTTGTTTGTAACTATTAAGAAGCTTATTCACTTGTATTGAACTTATTACATGTCCTTACTATTATTATAGTCTTCCAGATAGTCCCACACAGACACACACATGAGGATATCTATATCCATAAACCAATACCGGAGGCAGCTCGAACTTCGGGAAACTTGCCAAGCATCGGAGGTTTCTCTCCGTTCGATGAAGAAAAGTTAGAAGCTGCTTTAAAATTTGAAAGGGTATGCACTTTTGCTAACCTTATAACAGTTATAATCAAATAGAAAATAACGAGGCACTTCTGAAAATAGAATTCTTAAACCAAATCTTTCATAAACCAAAAATATTGTGGGCATTGTATAAGTTTTGCTTTAAATGTCTTAAAGTCGACTGCTCCATCTTCAGATAAACTACATGATTTATCTAATGAATAAACAAAAGAGTAAAAAGGTAAGAAAATAAAAAAATAAGAGAACTGAAGCTTATAGAAAGATGGAATGAGCCTAAATGTAAAAATAATTGAGTATACTCATATATAAAGCAGATATTTTTCAAAAAAAGTTTTTGAACAATGTATATAAAAATACATTAATAAACAGTAAAAAATTATTATTTTTTTACTGTACATATTTGCATAAAGATAAAAAATTAATCTCATGTCAGTTCCCTAGATATAATTTAATTCTCTTTTAACTTTATTTACATATCAATTAACAATTTAATTTTTCAGCTGTTAAAAGCTTTTATATAATTAATCTCGCATTATTATCCTTTTTCCAGCTGTTTCTAATTTATAATGTTGAAAGAATTATTAGAAGGAAAAAAAAACGTTGATACAAAATGTATAGAATTTAATTATAGAGATGTTATTTGTAGAATGAAATAAAATACTTATCGAATGTGCAGCAAAATCATTATAGGTAATTAAGAAATATTTTTTTTTAATCAAAAACTCTCGTTTATATTTAACGAGAGAAAAAAATTCCAACTCATATTTATTTATTTAAATTGAATATTTAGACATTTCATTAATCTATCAGATTTCTTCCAAATCGCACGTTTCTTCTTTAGCAACGATTTAATTAAAGGCTATCAGCTATTTTATTTACATACAGCAAAATGCAACTTTTCAGTAATTAAATTTCAAATTAATATATATTTATTAAAGTAAACTTATTTTAAATATAATATTAATTAAAAAGATAAGAAAGCTCTATAAATTTACATTTTCAAACTTTAATTTTTTAACACCACATATATTTCTTTTGAAAATAATGTATTCTAAAGAATTTCCGTTACTCTAAGAATTTCACGCTAAATATATTAAAGAAATGGTTCTTCTCAAAGAAGATACTGTCATTTTCAAAAGATAGGAAGAATTTCACATGTGTATAAAACTAAAAATTAAATTAAATTAAAAACATAAAATATAAAATTATTCGAAAAGACCAAGTCTCTCTCGGGTATAGAAATATTAATGTTTGAGAGAAGAAGATAATATAAATTTTTTTAAAAAGCGATGGGAGGAATTACACGAAGTGGAGAATGCAATGTTTTTCGTAACAACCCAAATCACTTCAATAGTGCAATTTATCTATTGCATCCGACGCTGTTGCCTGACAGCATCACGACTTGTTAAGCTAATCAGAGGTCGTTATCAAAATGATACACGGCGTATTTGCAGAGGTAGCTATTAAAGTTATCATTCTATATCGCGAAATGTAAAAAACGAGCGACACGAGGGAGAAAAAGAGATCGTGGATTCGGCGAAAATAATGCCGCACGTGTCCTCGTCGTTGTCGCAATTCAATGCAGGGACGATTTCAAAATTCGCATATCAATCGTGCAAACACACTTCCGCAGTATTTTCGAAATTTAATGAAATACAAATACATCAATTGTAAATTGTAAATTTAATGTTTTCAATAAATTAATGTAATTCGACCGCGTTTACCACGATATTGTATGTACGTATAATATACCAGTTATATTGCATGCAAACCACGAACAAATTTCGCAATTCTCACAAATTATATTTATACATCGAAAAAAATCAAATGCCAATCGACAAACGTAATTAAGTTTTCTTCACGCGATGCAAAATTAACTTCGATATCAGCAAAAATATTTGCGTTTCCTATGAGTTATGTACATCCGTTTGTTACGAAATAAAATTTTATTAATAATTAAATTTGCCTCGAGAAATGCCAACGAATTCAATAGTAGTAGAAAGAAAGCATTTCATAAATATGAAATATATGCTGCCTATCTAGAACATATCGAAGTTTCCAGCTTTATTGTATTCAACGACCACTTTGCGAATTGTGATGATACTGCCTTCTATTTAATTTTTAACTGTGAAACAGTTAAAAATTCCCTATTTTCTGCATATATTTTGTTGTTTTTGACAATAGTAAAATTCTAACCAATACATACATATTTAATAATTTTATTAATATTTTATTTAATAAAATTTCTAACGAAAACTGAAAAAATACAAAATAACAGATTCTTTTAGAGAATATTAATCAAGCTTAAATAAAACAATTTTCAATTTGTGATTTTTACAGTAGATTTTTAATTTTTAAACGTTATTGTACATTTTTATGTCAAAAGGCAAAAGCAAAAACTTCACGATAAAAAATATTTGCCGATAAATAAAAATGAATGTATTTCTGTAAATTGTGTAACAATTCACATTTCGCTCATCTGAATGTGAATCTTTAATTAAGAAATAAATCAATATTTGATGTTCCTCTTTAGTTTATAACGCAATCGTGTACAGATTCTATGCGATCTGTCTGATGGAGCAAAACTTGCGATCTATCTGATGGAACAAACTTGTGGCTGGTCAACAAGCTGATTTTTCTACTTGTAACACAATCCCATGAACGATTCCCCGGAGGCAATAACCTTCACGTTGATCACGTAAAAGACGAAATCGTAGATGTGAATCAGTTTTAAATTAATGACTCCCCAGCGCTTAATCTTCAAGTTGAAACCGAGTAGCATACCTGTTAAAATAAGCCATCAACTGAAATGCGGTATTGAGATGCTTGTGCACCCCACTCTTGACACGCGGCAGGTAACCATAAGCAGTCAGCACATTATCAATTAGCATCGGGGCCCAACAAATGGCGAACAGTACCACGACTGCTACCAGCATTTTCACCACCTGTTGGCAGCCATTCAAAGTGATTAGAGCTGTTTTCCAACATTTATTAAGATAATACAGGAAACATCCTACTATATTTAAACAATGGATATACTCTTACTGTACTGGATATAGTTTACTAACGTAGACGATCCTATCCCGAGTAAAGTTCAGGTATACTTTCAATCCTACTGTCTCGTATCAACTACAATATGTGATCTCTAAAAGCATGTACAATTTTAAATAAGTCCATTTCCTAAATTAAAACCTTTCTTCTTCAAAAATAATTTTAAAATTTATACATTGTTATGATAACTCATTCAATATGAGCTCAATAATTATATAATTATAAAAAAAAAACAGTAAAAAGTTTTTTCACAAATGAACTCAGTAATAATTTAAGAGTGTTAATTACTAAGAATTCCAAAATGATGATTTGTAAATTTGTATAGCCATTTCTTTCTCAAATTCTATTATTCCCAAGGAAAGATTAATTAAATCAAACCTGCTTCATAGTCCGTGATTCTTCGTCTTTTTCGTCCCGGCGTGATTTGCGTTCGTTTCCGCCCTGCCGTTGAGTCATAGGAATCGATTCCGTATCTGCACTGTTTGGATTTAATCTGAAACAGATTAAAAGTTACACTCTGATTATACGCACGTGGACCTCATATTCCATTGCACGTCAATTCTATTTGCGCCAACTGAGGATGGATGAAGAAAATAGACTATTCGCAAACCAAATTTCAAAAATACGAACAAATAGAAAAATTTAATACAGTATCAATTTAAATTCAATTTTAACCTTTCAATAATTTTAATTTAGCTTTCAATATTTAAAAAAAAAAAATGATTAATATTCTATATTAATTTTCTTGCAGCTGACTTTTTTGACAAATAATGTTTTAATAGAAAGATTATATTTTATTCTATTCCTTTTTTTACTTTTAACTTACTTTAAATAGCGCTTTTCTTTTCATATCCAGGCACTTTTCTTTTCATATACACGCGAAGGATATGAAATTATTTACGAGAAAAATCACTGAATTTTTATCTAGCGCTTCATATGCATGTGAGAACCCATTTTCATCTTAGCAAGATATTGCGTGCGTTAACTACGTTATGACTCTACTTCATGGAATTTCCTTTGATCTTACACGACAGTAATTTTATCTCGGAGAATTTCTCCGAGTTGACCGATGTACTAAAGCAAAGTCAGAGAATATTCTAAAGTAGCGACCTTTCCATGCGATCGGAAGCGTTAATTTAATAACGCGCGTACTGTATATGCACAGTGTTCCAAGAATGATGGCAATCGATAGCACAAGAATGTATTTTCCCATGTAATTGATCTTTTAAAGAAATCTTTGCATCAATTGGTAAAAAAAAACTCCAAATAATTGAAATCTGTCTATTTCTTATAATTATGTAAATAGTTTTCTTCCTTCCTTCAAATAATTCTTATATCCATCTAATTTGTATCAGCTCGAATTCGAAAGCTCGTCTTCTAAGGAGCTTAAATGAATCTTTTTTCATTTAAGCAAAAGCACATGTCGAAATATTTTATGAAGCATTACGGGCAAAAGAGGTAACTTCTTCATGGATAGAAGACTTATATTCGTAAACACAAATGAAATCTTTCTCAAAATAAGTTCTTTACGTTCATCGACGGAAAATTCTCAAAGATTCCTTGAAATATTTTTAAATATATCGAACGACTGTCTGAAGATGAGCACTCACGACGATGTTTCACAACCTGCAGGAGACGACGAATCGAATCAAGTAGAGTCATAAAGTGTAAATGCATTCGCCATTACGTTTGCCCCATCACCCTCGATCTATTTCAAGCGAACCGCCTGTCTACACATTTCCCAAAGAAACATTGTGAACGATGCGACCGAATCCATTATCAAAAGTTTACTTCCCACTAAAATCAAATATTACTGAATCATATATTACTGGATGAGTATATATATATATATAATTAATGGTAAAATGAAACAAGAATTCAAAATTTTTTTGCAAAATATCTAATTCAAAAAGGGGAATTCGCTTTAATGCTTGAATTATTTGAATATTTAATTTGCTCTTAAAAGAAATTAATTACATTTCGTCTAATTATTGATAGAAAAAATATTTTAAAACTACCTGTATTCGCTATATATATTTTTTATCTCGCTATACATTTCCACTATACTTTCCAATTTTTTTTATCTAATTATGCATTTTTTATCTAATTATCTAACTATCGTGTTTCTTTATAAAGATTCAAGATTTATTTCACGAAAGAGAGTACAAATCCTATCGATCATGATAAGTTTATACGGCTTGCGTTATTCGCAACTATATACGAATCTCGATGAGATATCGCGAGATATTACGTTATTGCGACAGGCGAGATAAAATGCGTTATAAATGATAACGCGAACTTCTTCACCGTATTATCGTCATCCAATCTCGATATGAATTCTACCTGCCAACATCCAAAAATTCGGTTCTATTCAATTGTAATTTATATTAGATTGCTGATCGCGTCAGGACCCATAAAATGGCAAAAAATTAGTGCTTTTCTCTTCCGCTTGCTTACGACACGTGACTGATGTTCGTGGCGAATAATCGATATTTCATACGGCCAAGCGAGAATACGGTTTTCGATTGTTATAGCAGAAAAGACAAATAGCAGTGTATGCGCCCATTTATAGATTATTACCAAGTCCGATACGCGGTAGGCGGATGTCGCACATAAATTAACGCAATCGGATTCACACCGATTATTATTGCTCGTGGTAGAATTAATATTGGAGAATTCAATCATTTAAATTTCCATACGCATGTTCGTTACGTATTTCCCGAGATATTACCGCTATTGAAATGTAATAGTTTCACTTTACTGAAATTTAATAGTTCATGATAAATTATCGATTATACCTGATTATAACTGAAAAGGTCATATTATTCTCAAAATAGTTTCAGGAACGCATCAAGTCGCAATTCTAAAATAACAATTCTTAAAGATAAGCTTGTTCAAGTCATTATCGTTTTCTTTTACGACAATTGATATTTTTATAGCAATATCGACTATCTATTTTTCTTCTTGATTTTTAACTTTTCTCTTCTTTTTACTGTGTCAATAAACTTTTTACTACACAATTTTAATTGTATTTATTTTCTGAGACCATTAGTAATTTTGTAATTTTGAACTTGACAAATTTATTTTCGATTAAAGCCTTGCTGGCTTTTCGAGAAGAAATAGAGCAGAAAAAATTCAGAAATTCACGAGGTCCAAAAAAAAAAACAAAATCTCGAACTTACGCATGCCGCGACGTCATATGATATCGACGTTTCATAACGCGCCAAATCTCCCAGCAGATACTCGTGTAACAGAACGCCATGATAATCAGCGGTAGCACGAGGACCACAATGAGCATGTAAACTTCGTGAGATCTCCACAGAAGTCCAGCTTCGGAATTGCGAACGCACCAATAGGCAATCCTCCTCACCCCAACTTCCTTATGTGTCTGAAAAGAAGAACAGACAGTAAATAAGAGACACCGAAGGCACGTGCCATCCTCGACATGCTTCCTGGATGTAACGAGGTATGCAAAGATATTTCGCGACGTTTGTTACTCGTTTTTCCACCGCGTTTATTAAGCTGTTAAACAGGTATTTATATATGTCGGAGTGATAAGATTCTGTCGGAATATGAAAGCTTTTTATTGCTCCCTCGTCGTTTACTTCATGGCCCCGTAAAAAGGATCAGCCGTCTGCCTCCACGCTTTATTAATCCTTTACGATGTGACTCTCTTTTGAATATGACCGAAGAGAGAATCTTATCCATTCAACGTATCGCAAGAATTATAATGGCACTGGGATTTCCGATTGATTTAAATCATGGAAGAAATTCTAAAAGTCTCATAATTCCTTTTTAATGGAAGAATATCAGTGAATGACAAGTCCTAATTGAAGAAAAGATCATTTTAAGATTTTCAACAAAGAATTTCAAAAACATGATTATTATCACTGATGCTTTATAATAACTCAAGTAAAATATGCAGGGTGTTTCCGGATTTTCTGTATAAATTTTCTTTAACAGTGTTCTATGAGCTGAAATAAAAAAGAAATACTATATAAATATGGAATCATATAAGTATTATATAATATACAGATTCTAAAATACAGATTCTGTTTTGTTAAAAAGTTAAAAATATGAAATATGTAATAAAAAATTTTACATTTTAAAATTTTACATTTTAAAAAGTTTACATTTTAAAATATCGTTCGCTCATGTCAATATAAATATGACATCGATATAATTTTGGATTTATCATCTTTTTTATAAGCTTGACAGCTTGATATTCAGTGAAGGTTCCCTTCTATCTCCGCTCTAAAAAAATAAATTCAAAATTACATGTCAAGTTTGCAATGACATGAGCATTTTCAAATGAAACCTTAGGTAAAATTTCTTACATTCATATCTTTATTATAACTTTTTAATAAAACATTTTAGAACCTATGCTTATATTTTTAATATTTTTCATTCTTCAGCTCATAAAACACAGATTAAGAGTAAAGCTTTTTCATTCATTTCTCGCGATAATGTTCATGAACAGCACATATTGAATATTTACCTACAGGTTGTGCTTTCAAAAAGCAATCATTGTATAAAATAATTATAAACATGTCAACTGCAAAGCAATATTATTCATAAATCTTCATATTACTTTAAAATTGAAACTGACGGAATAACCTCACTCTATTCTACTGTTAAAATTTATACAGAAAATTTAGGGACATTCTGTACAGGAATCCGTTATCTTTCTAATTATATTTTAACGAGAGATTCAAAGAAAAATCGTGGAAAAAATTTCTATTATATAATATTTGATAAGTACTTCAAGTATGAAAAATATTAAAATATTCTCATTATTTCAAATTATGACGACACTACTAATAAAGAAGATATATTTAAACATGACATAGCGTGCACCGCGTGTTATTTAAATTATTTCTCTTTACGGTTGTAATTTATAATTCGCTAAAGCTTCGCGGAGAATAAGAAACTATTTTTATTTCAGACGCATTTCCTCTTTGACTGCGTTTTATTCTCAACTTTTTATTCATAACTTCTATGTCAGGCCTGTGTGTGCAAAAATTTCATTTCCTTCAATCCTTCATTTACTTTCTTATAAAAATAAGAATTTTTCGTATAAGAGACTTGTTCACCGATGAACCTCACCTTCGAAAATGTTATGTGCATCCTTGTAGAAAATTGATTTCACATCCCGATTTGCGTCACGATTACAATCAGTTTATTTCCGACGTCATTGAAGGATTATTGGAATAATATTGGAATAAAAAAAATTACTACAAATAAGTCGCGTACAATCCTCCATTTAAAATAACCAATATTTTTATCCTAAGTGAAATAAAGATGAAACCAAGCTTATACTCAGGGCACAGAAAGGCATTTTTCATTGGAAAAGAATCTTCTGAACGAATATCAATTGAATATCAAGCAAAATAATCTCTGTCTCGTGTAAAGTAAATTCGATTTTTGTAAAACATTATTCGATCGTACAAAGATTTAAACTATTTAATTAATGAAAAAATTTTCTAAATACATTAATTTTTAATTTAAATTAAAAAAAAGTTAAATGTATATTTGAAATTTAAGATGTTGATATTCCATATTTAACTCACGTGGATCAATTCGAGGCAACGTTGCACGAATCTTCATGTCAAACTAAAATTTGAAATCAAATTAAATATAGTGTGTCTAAAATCTATACATTATACAACTACGTTAAATGTAGTATAGAATACCAACTACAATATTTTCAGCTATTATCGATGATTCTGAGAATGTTCAAATCGAAAAAGACGAACGCATCAAACATTTATCTAGGAAAATGTTAGAAATTACGAGAGAAGTATTCTCCAGAAGAAAATTCAATCGCGTCAGTCTTCTCTCGATTTTCTCCTACTTAACTTCTATCTTTTCAACGTTGAGATAAATCACTGTTCATTAAAGTAAGTGAACGAAGCGAAGTGTATCAACTTTATTGGACGTGCAACTGCGGGGCGTATCATTCTCGGATTTCGTCGATACACATTATACGCGTGTGTAAAATATTGCAAAATGCCATGTTGCGATAAGCGATAGTATGAAAGTAATACGCTGTAATGGCAAGTACAAAATTAGAAAGATACATCGTTTCATATTAATCACGTTCAATTTAAAAATCACTCAGATGCAGGCAATGTCCCTTTCATGTTTAAGATAATTATTTCTGCACATACATTTTTTTACATAAAGAATTTAGTATCAAAATTTTAAATAAAGAATATTTCAGATATGGAACAAACAACTTGATATTAATTTATGTAATTACAAATCTTCCTTAAATACAAGCTAATTTGAAATGAAGTGGAAAACAATATTTTTTTCTCCAGTTTGGAATCAAATTTTCTTTATCACAGTATGATATAAATCTTAAAGTATAAATAACGGAAAATTAAATGCTTTTTACAAATAGACGAATAGAAATACGAATAGAATATTGCAATTCACGAATAGAAATACATAGAATATTGCAATTGTTTCATAATTAATTTTATGTTAATTTTATTCACGTTAATCTTGAAATTTTTTTCTGAAACGTAATTATAGTTTTTGGATCTATTAAAATGTAAAAAAATAAGCATTAAATGAAAACAGAGAAAAATTAAGAAAAGCAACGTTTTCATTAATGTTAAGTATAAGTTGAAAATATCCGTACCTGTGTAAACGTCATGGGTACTCCCAGTAGAAATGCTGCTATCCAAGTTATGATTACAATCTTACGAGCTTGGCTTATGGTACATATATACTGCGCTCTCATTGGATGCACTATGGCGTAATATCTGAAATACAAAATTATTTTGAGAAATAGTTTAGACCTAAAGAATTTTATTTAAGGATTTTAAATATATCTGTAAACATATAAATTAGTTTCAATTAAATCTACTGCATTTAGTAAAGAAAACAAGTATAAAAATAAAACGAAGTAGATTTCTATAAATATTATAATATATGATACTGATGTAAAAAAACAGTCAAAGCGCGACTGTGTATTCTCCGAAAGATCATACGTTGGTCTTCACGATGCCATTTTCTAAACATAGAATCAAAGCGCTTTGTCTTGACTTACGAGATTATATTTCTCGCAAAATGTCTTTTCTGTGGCGTGGATATTAATTTGAGTGTACTTTACGAATATTCCGCTTACAGTACGAAAATATAATAATCCGCGACTCAAAAAGATCATGTAACGACGTGAAAATCGAGTGAACTTGCAACATTTTATTCATAGACTACGTCAATGTAATATTCTTGTCAAAATGAGTCTCTTGAGATAGTCATTATGCAATCAAATTGAAACTATCTATTTTATATTATAAATATTAAAGATATTTTTTAAATCAAAGATTGTACTTGGCATTAAAAGCTTCTCTTGGCAGCCAGCGCAATAAATAAACAAGTTAAAAATTACGTACATAAAAAAAGTATATGTATGAATATATGTAAAAATATATGTCTTTTCCCCTTTAAATTTTTATATAAAGATATAATATAAACAATGTGTAAAAACAACAGATAAAGAAACAATATCGTGCGCTTTATTATTTTGTTCTACAGTAATCTACAATAGTATTAAAAAAATAAAATATAAGTCAATGTGCACAGCAATGAATGTATTAACATTATTAAAACAAGAGCTGTTTTCGAATTAGAGACAAAGATCGGATCATTTTATTGTAAGCCGTGTTTTAGTTGAGAGCGGAAAAGTCGTCCGCATAAAACTGCATACAAATATGAGAATCATCAGAGAAAAATTAAATCAGGACAGAGGAAGTCCTGCATCCCAGCATCGTCACACACAGAGAGAAAAATCTCCCTGTTTGGACTCCAGCTGATGTAAAAGAACAAAAATATAATGAGCAGATAGAGGACCAAATTGCGTAATAGAGTGGAAAGACGGCCGAAACATTTACATTGCATTGTGCAGACTCCGCTGTCGCGTTTTCCGTCACAGTTTCCGCCAGGTCTTTTTATTCGCGTACAACGAGAGGACCGAATTGCCGCTTCCTTGTTTTCGGCGGTATTATCGTCGTCATGAATACAAATTGTTTTGACCGATGCGTAGGAGAATTAGACAACTCATTGATAAGAGCGGTGAATGAGTCAAATGGAACGAATGACAGACTTTATCGCCCGACTTTTTATCGCTCAAACCGTTTGCGTTTTATGATCACGCGAGATTGTCGTCGATACGAACATCGTTTTGCGTGCATTTTTGCGACGATTCAACGATTTTCTCTAGCAGAGGAAAATTAGGTTTAAGAATGTCTGGAACATCCCGCGAGTTATTCTGTCGATTTTGTGTATCGATTTTTGCAGGATCAAGTTTCCGTGTGCATTGTGGAGAAAATAACGACATTGTACCAGTCATTTTAAAGTAGCAGTAAACTTTCGCTAATACTTCTAAAATCTTTTAATAGTATTTATCTTGTTTACAAACTCTGCGTACTGTAGAAATATGCTTTCGAATAAATAATAAGAATATAATAATAAATGTTAAGGAGTGGAAATAACAAAAAGAATAAATATCAAAAATACTCAAGAATCATAAATTAAAAAATATACATTATAACAGGTGGGTAATATTTTTCGCAATAAGTTCTTTACAATTTTTTTAATTTAATTTAGTGGGGATTATTTCGGATTGTGTTGAAAATTCGAAAATTATCAGCGTGCAATCATATTTGAAATAAATTGATTTAATAAAGAATCTCTATCATTTGATATATTATTTGATATATTTTTATATAATATAAGACACAAATGTAATTGCTTTAATCTACTTGATTTAAAACGTTCTAATACATTTATTCAAATACATCTTTGTTAAGACGCGACATATTAACTTGACACAATATTCGGCGATAAACTTAAACAATTCAAAAATTTAGCAATTTTTCGTTTTATATTCTCACTTTTAGGTTACATGAAGAGTGTTTCTATTAGAAAAAACTCATACTAATTATACAAATAATTAGGCTTTCCTTTTAGGAAACATAGTCGACGCAAATGTCGTGTGTTTTATTTTTCAATGATAGAACAAAGATAGAACAATATTTATATTAACCGTGTTTCCTAAAAGAAAAGCAATCTAAGTCTCAATGAAATAAGTTAATTTTCACAATATAGTTTTTAACAAAAGGTGAACAAAAGATGTTATATACACAAGATTTAATAATAAATAATTTTAACTACGATACATCAAAGCCGTAAAATTTATGCTCGCTGAGCATTTTTGATACACCATAACTCAAATATAAAATTATCGAGGCTTATGTCTTTGATTTTCTATTCATTACAATATTATAAGCTATATTATATTAAAAACTAATACATTTCATTAGGACTCAATTTTTCATATACGTAACTTATAGTGCGGGGTCTTTTATCTAAAATGTTTCTCGTGTAATTGCAATCTCGGAAAGAAATTATGAATATGTTTATTACGTTGTTGAAACAGATAAATGGAATTTATATATCACAGCAAAACAGTTCTTATGCACATCGAGTCTTGTTCGTTTGAATAACTACATGAGCCATCAACGAAAGAAAATACAATCGATTAGGAATACTCATGAACATATTTCTTGTATTTGATTTCGCTTGTACCATCATTGATTGCGTCATGTTACTAGACTCTTACTAAGGACTAATAAACATAGATTAAGTAAGCTTCTTTAAACTGCTTATGCGCGATTTAATTGTTGTCCTCGACATTCAATAGATCTATTTGAGATGGTTTCCTTTTGTGCACTGCAAATTAAATTACGAATAAATATCAAATGAAAATTGCTTCTAAAGAATAAAATTACAATTATGACTGAATGGTATTCTACATGATTCTAAATGTAACGATAAGCTTAATTTTAAAGAAAAAAAACTCGAAACTGATTTTTTTGGCTGTTGAAATCATTTCACTTACTGAATATTGAGACATCTACAAAATTTCACGTAAAATAATTTATATATTGGGTTGACAAGAAAGTAATTGCGTTTTTTTAAAAGGTATCTATTAGTAAAAACCGCAATTACTTTCTTATCAATCAATATAAATATATCTTGATAGAGTAAAGTTTCAGCTTTAAGAATCTTTTTTTTAAATTGCGATATGACAATTTTTAACGGAGTTATGAGCAATTAAAGTCAAAATGATCCTTTTATTTAATCTGCGATAACTCAATAACCAAAAATCATAGGAATATTAAAAAAAAAAATGATTTGTAGGAAAAATATCAAGCTTTTTTAGATAATCGAAAATTTTCTCAAATTTGTTTTGGGCACATTACAAACTCATAAAGTGAGAAGAAAATTTTCCGTTAATTCATAATTTTTTGATATGTAAAAATTACAAACTTATATAAACTTAAAAAATATGATAAGCTTTTAAAAGTAGAGAGCTTTCAAACTTTAAAATCCTTTCTTTAAATTTAAATTTCATTCATATTGACGAAAATATCGTATATACAACTTTGAACTAAAAAAACGCAATTACTTTCTTGCAAATCCAATAATATTAAGAATTTTAATCGCAAATATTTAAATATATCATAAAAATTATTATTAGAAATATATCTCATGATTAGTTCTTCTCTCCCGGAAGTTTTCATAGCCAAGCGTAAATCAGACTGAAAGGGAGAAATAATGGTTTATCAATTTCATAGAGAGTCATAACGGAAAAGTATTTGCGAAGTTGGCTCAATAGCGAACACTATAAATAAAAGAAGTATCTCCGTCTGCCAGTAGATTTATGACGAAACTCAAGACGAAACTGGGTTGAATCGGATTCTGACACCGTAGAAACTTACTGTTTCATTTTGCAAAGTCACTTTAATTACTGCGTAGTTTTCTTCTCCCTTCTTTTTTTTCGTTCCTCGGAAAAAAGGCTGAATTTTATGGAACGCAGTGTTTTATGGAACTATCCTCTATCTCGAAAATTTTTCACTACATGAAGGAATTGCGCAAAACAAAATGGTAATTGCGTTAATCTACGTTTTAATCTATTACTTTCTAAATACCAATAAGGATCAATCTTTGTAATAATATTAAAGCAATAGAATTATACAAAGTGCTTCAAATCCTTTAAGTAAAATCTTATCAACACCACTGCGAATTTTTCTGAAAGAGAGAAAAAAGTGAAAAAAAGAAGAAATCCAATAAGGGAACAATGAAAAGAAGATTAAAACGGTCTTGTAACTTAATTTTTCACTTGAAAGCTCAAATAAGATATTTTTTACAAATGATTATTATCAGATTATGTGTTTATTAGATAGAACCCGAATATGTCCGGAAAAAAGATTGAAATCCCATACTCGAGACTTTTCTTTCGTGAGAGTCGCAAGATTGTCATCCTTGGATTAGCGCCAAGTAGTAGAATTACTAAGCGTCCGTGGCGCCTGTTGTAATTGCTACACTTGCTTCGCGGTTCTTTCACGAAAATGCAATAACCGTGCCAGACGTTTGCCGAGGTTGTATAATTAATCTTATCGTATACATCCGACAACATCTCAATCATCGGGATGTCTCGGGTAATCTTATTTAACCCCGCGAGACGACGTCGCGTCGGAACCCGAGACGGTATGCAAGGAAAACCGTGGAAAATTCTTTTTATCGCTTTTTTTGAGTACACGAGAATAAAGTATGCGAGACCAAAAAGGAGCAAACCAATGATTATCATGAGTTGCTCCATGGGCGGTGCAAGTTCTCAGATTAACGATGGATATTCAATTTCAAAGTGTTCACGTTGTCGTCGTTTAATCGCGAAAGAAAAAGGAAAAGAGAGAGGTATAGAGAGAGAGAGAGAGAGAGAGAGAGAGAGAGAGAGAGAGAGAGAGGAGGAAGAGCATAAAGATCGTTACGTGGGATGAATACGTCTTCTAAGCGAAATAAAAGAAGCGCCCACTCGCGACCGGAAGTACAGTTCCTTCCGACGCGATGGTTTCTTCTACTCTCTCTTCTTCTTGCTAGGTCAGTTCTTTCAACATAGCTCTTTTTGACTGATACGAAACAATATAGTTATATAATGTGACGACGAAAAATTCAGATAAAATTACCGCAACAAAATTGTTTATAACATTGTGAATATTAATGTAGAATTATTAAAATTAATTACAACTCCTTTTACACATTTTTAATGATCAATGTAACGGATTCTGATATATCTTGCAAACTCTTGTATTGTTCCTATTTTATCAATTCTTTTAGTCTTTTTTTAATATTTGAAATACACTAAAATACGATATCAAAAATCTCAAGCTCTTTTTAAGAATTCGGATCTAATATCATGTATAACAAAGAAAGAAAGAGAGACAATGAGAGAAATTTTTGATGATATTATATAAAATATCATGTTATCTGCGTATAATATTATCTATGATAATATGACGGTTCACAATAATATTGCGGATTAAATAAAAACTGGATGTACTAATCAAATGTTGAAATTTTATCTCTGCAATATGTTAGTTAATACTATCTTGAAATTATGTAATTTAAAAGTTAATATAAAATATGAAATGTATTGTTTTTTCATAAAAGAATTTTTATTCGAAAATTAAAATTTATTTTTGCTTACTTTTTTTATGTTTTGATAACAACATATGATATCGAATTATAAAATACGTTTCTCGCATTTTCATGGCAATTTATGTGAGAACGCACACATGATGTTCATATTTCTATCATTTACACTACACTGCCAGCAGCGATTTATAAGTACAATGTTTGTTGTTTAAAATCAAATTGCATAGTAAATTTTAAAGTAATTTTTTTTTTAATTTTATCAGGTTGTATAAACCTGATTGTGTTGTATTATTTTACAAATCCTCCGTTTTCAAAAAAAATTTTAAATCGAATTTAAGTTGAATTTATTTTAGCTTCTTTTCTATGATGTCGATTAATTATTCGAGAAGTTTGATTGCGTTGTTATAAATTTTTTTATGATTTTATTAGAATATTTTATTATATTTTTTATAATTTTAGATTCGTAATGCTGAAAATATAGCAGAATACATACTCACATACGTAACAGGATAAAAAAATAACTTCCTAATTAAAAAATTTCTTTACAAATCACAAAATGAGTGCACATATATA